CCCCCCCCCAAACACTTTCCCTGTTTGAAAGTGCAACCAGGTACCATGTGATTTATATTAAGACTTTGGCAGGGTGTGTGTGACCTCTTTGACTTGTGAGCACCAGCAGGAATCCACATAGTGTGCCGTTAACTCCTCCTTGGGTCATTAGACAGTCTTTCTTCTTTCTTTTCTTTCCTTCCTCCCTCTCCCCTCGCCCCCCTTCTTTCCTTTCACTCACTCACTCACTCACTCACTCACTCACTCACTCACTCACTCACTGTTACCCAGGGACTCTGGGTGGCTCTCCTGCAATGTTTCTAAGCTGCCTGCCTGTCTACTTTAGGTGTCCCCATCCTGACAAACTTTGCTCAGAATGAATCCCCTCCTCCCCTAACCTTGCGCTTAGTGCCTCTACCTAGAACAGTGCTGTGGAAAGAGCTTGGGTGTTAGAATCAGACAGGCTGGGCTCCTGTCTGCGCTCCACTATTTCCCAGCCATGAGTGGCCCCAGACAAGCCTCTACTTCTCTGGGCTTCAGATTCTTCCCCTCACAAGATGGAAAGCAACCCTTCCATCTCCCTTCCTGACCCCCCTGTGCGCTAGATCTTATATCAGTGTGCCAGTTTAATACTCCCCTTGGATGGCATCTGAAACCAAAATCTGCAAGACAGAATGCATTTCCCCTGCCCGGCACCCCCCGCCGAACTCACTCCTCCCCATGTCTTCCCCTTTTCAGCCAATAGGACCACCACCTTTCCAGTTATTCAGGCCTGAACCTGGGAGCCGTCTTCACTTCCTCTTGCTTCGTATGCCTCTGCAAGCCCTGTCAGCTTTATCTCCAGAATGTACACTGACTCTCTCCTCTCCTCTCAGCTCATGGCACTGCCCTCGCCCAAGCCACTGGCCTCACTCCTGGCAGACAGTGGGGTCTCCCCAACATCTGTCATAGCACTGGGACCTCATTGTTAGGTCTGCCCTCATAGGGCCCCCCTTTAAACTGAAGTCCACTCCTCCTGCTGCCTGATGCCCTGACCCAGCCAGAAGGAGGACCTCAGGACATGACACATTTCTCAGGGTAAATAAGTTTACCAGCTGCTTTCCTTGCTGTCAAAAAAGAATCTACAACTGCAAGAAACACCAGGTGTCTAAGAAAGCAGGAGAGGAGGTACCCTTGACCCTTGGCACTCACTCTTTCAACAGGCAATGACTTTGATAATTTGGGACAAATCCAAAGGTTGTCATGATGTGTCACTCTGCTGAGGCTGGCACCTGGGGAGGCTGGTGTGTGGAGTGAGTCACTGGGAGTCTCTCCTTCCCTGCAGAACCAGCAACCAGGCCCGCAGAGAAAGTCAGCTCCCAGGGCTGGGAACTAAATCTAAGAAAGCAATGATTCTTTGGCAGAAATACTTAACAGTGTTTACGTATCTGGGATTTACTGAGGTCTTCACATGTGCTTTCCCGAAATGCCAAGGGCCTCATGCTCAAAAGGGCAAGGCAGGCAAGCTTCATTGACTTGTCAATGTTGGGAAAACAGCCCCTGCCTTGCGGGTTGGGTGTGGAGGAAATTGTACAGATCTTCTGGGTAGCTTGCGGGTTGGGTGTGGAGGAAACTACAGAATTGCTGGGTAGCTTTCAGCAGGTGAAATTCGCAGGGTGGCCCTACCTCAGCTACTTTTGGCTGAGACCCTTGAGACCTGTTTTTAGTCACCACCATTCCTCCCCCCCACTCCTGGCGCCCTGGGCAGGTGAAAGGGATCAGGCGTTCTGTCTCCCTGGTGGGAAGGCCACTCCAGCTGAAGCATTTCTGCTAGGGCATCATGGCCTCAAGTGGGAGCAACTTCCTAGGGCTATCAGCAACTGGGGAAACTGAGGCATCAAGCACGCCCACATTTGGGGTTTAACTAGTACAACCACCTATGATATTCATCTTAATCAGGAGAGTGTCAGCCCACTTCCTCTAAACTACAGATCCTGGCACAAAAAGGTCCAGGGTTTCCTCATTAGCTTGAGATCAACGTAGTGTGATGCTAAATTGGAAATTCTGCCTGAAGCTCTAATAGACAATAGGTATCTGATACTAAAGACACTGGGAGCCCCTCACCCACACTGAGGATGAAAACTGGTGTGGAAGAGTCCAAAGGAAGGCTGTGCTTAGGAAGAGGGGCTTTTGGAGAGAGCTGACAGCGGGACTGGAATCCATCCCCCTTTCTTCCCGGAGGGGGCAGAGGGTGGGGACAGAGTAGCTTGCTTCCCACCTTAAACCTAGAGAAAGGGGTTTTAGGGGCCCATCCTGCAGATCCAAAAGCCAAATGGATTTTTATATCTAAAGTCACTGTAAGACTTTTCATTATTTAAAAAGAAGCAGCAAAAGACACAAAATTGCTTTCTGATTATATTTCCTGAGTCCCGCTTGTTGGCGCTGCTGCAACCCTGAAGTCCCCAAACAGCCCTTAGTAATGTGCTTTCCATCGTTCCAAACAATGACTACTCCCAACATCACCTGGAGGAACAGGCAAGGCTGGGGCTAGTACCCCGACCTGGCAGATGAGGAAACTGCTTCTGAAAGCTCGAGGTCAGAGAGGAGGCCTCAGCTACCTTGGTCCCTCTGGTTTGCTTTCCTCCTCTGATCAGCTTGTTTTGAATTTTCCGAGCTAAGCTTTAGGCCATTTATTTACCCACAGATAAAAATCAGAATTCAACCCCTGCTGCTCACGCAGGGCACTAAAAACAGGCGCAACAGGGTTAGGATTTTTACCTCCTTCCTCCTCTTCCAAGTATATTGAGGTAAAATTCTGATATCCAGGAGGGGGAAAAAAAAGCTATCCAGTGCTGGAAACATGTTTAAAGGACATGAAGAAAGTTCCAGTCTCTGTAAACCGTCGAATATGTCACAGCCCTCCTTGTTCACTGACACAGTGGAAATGTTCATTAAGCTACAAGTTAGCTGCACAGAAAAACGCATGCTACCCATTCTTGATGGGACTTCCCATCACCCTACCCAAGTCACCGGGCCTCTGACCCTACCCGCAGCCACTTTTTCTCCTGTTTAATGTAAGTCCCAGCCAGGAACTCCCCGTGGCGGAGGGTGCTTACGCTGGCAAAGGTGCCCAGGGGGCCGCTGTGGGATGAAGTCAGACGGGCAGCCAAAGCTTCCCGCTCAGTGCCTGGACCAGGGTAGCTGCCCAGCAAAGTGAGCTCCCCTTTGTGGGCCAGTTCCTCTGGTTTCCAGTGTTTTCTGCCAACCCCACAAGAGATCCCCCAAGAGAGTCAACTCAGGACACACACTGACTGAGTCCCTGAAGTGGAGTCTAGTTCAGCAGTCAGATAAGCAGTGCTGCCTTGGATCTGTATGACCAAAGCCTTTCCTAGCCTTCTGGGGGCTCGATTTTCTCTAGGCTGCAAGACTTGTTAGCCACTCCTTTTCCGCTTCCCCACTAACAAGACTGATGAGAGAGCAATGCAGGGGTCATTTGAGGATAATATCAGGTCCAACAGGTTATCTAAGAGATGGCAGTCACAGGACGGGGGGCGACTGCATTATCCTCTCAAGTTTGGCTTTGCTCTTATATGCACGTGTGTGTGTGTGCACATGTGACTATGTATGTGTATCCTCCACTCAGTGCATTTTCCCTGTGTGCCACATACTATGTTAAGGACATTCTAGACATGGTCTCATTTACTACTATTCCCAGCTTGCAGGCGAGGAACCTGAGCCTCAGAGAATCTGTATGACTTGCCTGATATTACACAACTACTAGGCAAGGGGCGAAGCTTGCATTCAGGCCTGTGGAACTCCACAGTGGCACCGTCTGGAGGGCCAGGCCACAGTCTTTCTGAAGTTGCCCTCCCTCTTCCACCCCAGCCGCCCCCTTACCCAGGGCCTTCATGTAGCCTTCAAAGTTGTCATTACTCTCCATCTCCCAGGTTCCATTCTGGTCCCTCGTCATGGTGGTGGCCTCTGGTTACCGTGGGTGTGTGGTGGATGTCCTGGAAGCAGGCTGCAGGGAGAACGTTTTGAAATGAGTCACTTTTATAGCCTAATGGATTAGGTTTATGGCTTTGAAGATAACAGGTTCAAAGGTGATAGGCACAGCCCAAAGGAACTTTCCTTTCCTTTGCAAAGTTCAGAAGGACTACTGGCAACCCATGCTCAAAGTCCTGGCCTGGCCAAGCATAGGTGTCCTGGTGACCCCCATCATACCACCCATGGCCCTGGCACAGCTCATTTTTGGCAGGCTGGGCTCCCACAGAGCCCCTGGTCCCAGACAGAACACTCCATTCAGCACTGGACAAAAACAAGGACCAAGCACTGACCCCCACATGCACGACAGGCCATAGTTCCTAGGCCTCAAACCTGGAGTCTGTCAGCCACGTAGCTAGACTTCCAGTCGGGCTGATGAAGCCAAGATGAGAACTCACACCTGTGGAGCTCTAGTCTGCTCTGTGCTGGCCAGTGTACATTCTTCATCTTGTTTTGTAAGTGCTCTGAGTTATGTTTAGCCATCTCCATTTTACAGATGAGAACAGGTCAAGGAGGTTAAATCACATATCTAATAACAACTGGTAAGTGGCTGAGCTGGAATTCAAACCCAGGCCTATCTGACTCCAAAGCCCTTTCTTTAACAGTGTGCTAAGGTCAGCTTGGAAGGGTTAGAATTTGACTTGGGAGCCTGACTCTCACTTGCTTTCCTAAGGGCCTCTAAACAGCAGAGTTACTCAAGAAACTCTGAGGAGAATGAATCTGCTGAAAGTAAGCAGGACCTGGAGGGAGGCCAGATGGCAGGCAGAGGGACAGTGGGACTCTACTTTAAGACCCCAGGAGCAAGCTGAAGGTCACCTTGACCAACGTGGGGGGCATAACTGACATTTGGATAAAGATTCTTGGTTCAGGGCTGTTCTTCAAATTGATTGTCTCTAGCTACGTGATTTACTGCTCTGCCACATGATTCAGAGAGACAGGGCCTGATCAGGGGCCCCTACACTCTGAAAACTGGAGGTGTGGACTGAGATGGATAAACCACTAGTACCTTAAAGCAAGGCCAATTTTGATTGACACTTTGGGGCTCTAACGTATGTATTCTTGTGCTGTGAAATCTAAGCAAATGGTTCTGTCTTTATGTGGCTTGGGGGATGTAAAATAGTACATTTGTGTTTCAGTAAATATACTGGAGTCAGGAGACACAGCAAAAAAAAATGGCCCAGCTGCTGTCAAAAGGGGAAGAGGGGAATAAAAGACAACTTCTCCACAAGTGGAAAATGAGTGAAAGCAAGCAGAAGTGGACAGAAAGGGAACCTGATGTTTCACTCATTGAGGTCTAGCAGAAACTGCTATAGGCTGAGTACTCAGCCTCCTGGGTTGGAGAAGTAGGTATTTCCCTCCAGGTTCAGATTCAAGGGCCTCCACACAGTCCCTCCCACCCAAACTGAGTCCCCTCTCAGCCTCTCTTGCAAGAAAGCACCAAAATGCTGGCCTGGTAGCAGAAGGGGTTAGGGGCAAAAATGGGGTTGCTAATTGCAATAAGTCAGGGATTGGGTTTTAACGGGCATGGAAGGTTATTCACCCTGTGTAAGGCAGGAAGTTAAAACTGAGATGCTTGCGTAAAGCCAAAACATGAGGAACTACTTCTCCAGTGAGCATGTGAAATAGCCAGAGCTGCCCACAGACAATGAGAATGTTTGTCTATTTGGCCTGGGATCTATGTGATTTAAATACAGTTCTGTCCTATTCTAACTCTGGTTTGGGGTTTGAATTTATGCTTCCTTTGTGCCAAAATATTAAAATCAATAAAGTCCTGAGCTTGCAATACTAATAGACTGCTAGAAAGAAGTAAATGTAAAAATTGTTTGGAAGGACACACCTTTGAATGAGGCCAATCAGGCTTCCCTGTAATAAAGCCATGACAAGTGTGATTTCATAATCCTAAATTGTAAAACACACATGAAAATAATCTGCATAAAGCAAACATCAGCAGAAACATACAGTCAGATTAGACTTCCAAGAGCTCCAGGTAAAAAAGAAAATCAGATACAAACTATAAAATAAATGTTTAAAATGAATAAAGAAAATTACAAGTACTTAAAAACATGAAAAAGAATACAGTGATGTTTTTTAAAAGCTAGATTGAAAAATAACCAGAAAGCAGTTGTAGAAATTAAAAAATATAGTCATTAAAATTAAAAATGTAATAGATAGGTTAAACACAACCTGAGAGAGAATTAGTAAACTGGAATGTAGAGCCAAGAAAACTACCCCAACGTATGTAACGCAGATCATGCTAATGGAAATTCAGAACATAAAAATAAAAACAAAATTCTAAAACCTTTCAGAGAAAACAAAATAAACCATATAGATTACCTATAAAGAAACAATACAAAATAACCTCATTTACAATTGCATCAAAAAGCATAAAATACCTAGGAATAAATTTAACCAAAGAAGTGAAAGTCCTATACTCTGAAAACTATAAGACATTGGAGAAAGAAATTGAAATAGGTACAAATAAATGGAAGGACATATCTTGTTCATAGGTTAGAAAGATTAATATTGTTAAAATGTCCTTACTACCTAAAGTAATATACAGATTCAGTGCAATCTTATTAAAACACTAATTACATTCTTCTCAGAATTAGAACAACTAATCCTAAAATTTATATGTAACCACAGATTTATATGGACCCCCAAATAGCCAAAGAAATCTTGAGAAAGAACAAAGTGGGAGGTATCATGCTCCCTGGTATAAAAATATACTACAAAGTTACAATAATCAAAACAGTATGGCATTGGCATAAAAACAGACATATAGCCAGCCGGTGTGGCTCAGTGGTTGAGCATCAACCCATGAACCAGATCATGGTTAGATTCCTGGTCAGAAAACATGCCCAGGTTGCATGCTCGATCCCCAGTAGATGGCATGCAGGAGGCAGCCAATCAATGATTCTCTCATCATTGACGTTTCTATCTCTCTCCTTCTCCCTTCCTCTCTCTGAAATCAATAAAAACATACCCCCCCCCCAAAAAAAGCCAGACATATAGATCAATGTAATATAATACAGAGCCCAGAAATAAAACCTTGCCTATATGGTCAATTAATCTACAACAAAGGAGGCCAGGATATACAATGGAGTAAAGACAGTCTCTTCAATAAATGGTGCTGGGGAAACTGGACAGATTTATGCAAAAAATTGAACTACTTTTTTATATTATATACAAAAATAAGCTCAAAATGGATTAAAGCCCTGAAACCATAAAACTCTTAGAAGAAAACATAGACAATACATTCTTTGACATCAATACACACACACACACACACACACACACACACACACACACACATAGGAATATTATTCAGCAATAACAAAGAATAAAATCTTGCCATTTACAACAACATGGATGGACCTAGAGGGTATTATGTTAAATGAAATAAGTCAGACAGAGAAAGACAATTACCATATGATTTTACTTACATGTGAATCTAAAAAAACACACAACAGAAACAGACCCATAGATATAGAGAATATGCTGATGGTTGCCAAAGGGGAGGGGAGGGAAGGGGAGAGGAGTGAGGGGATAGGGGGAAAATAAAATAACTCAGACATTAAAAAATAAAGAAGCAATATAATAATCAGATGATATCAGACTTTTTAACAACTATTGGGAGATAGCAATGGAACAATATCTTACAATGATGAGAGGCAATACCTTTGAATAAGAACTCTAAACCCAGCCAACTTCATTAAAGTATGAGGGTTTTAAAAACTTAAGTATTTGCAGATATAGCAGCCCCAAAGTGGAAACAACCCAAACATCCATCAACAAGTTAATGGAGAAACAAACTGTGGTATATTCACAAACAGAATACGACCCAATAGTAAAAAGAAATCATCCGCTGATAATGTACGCATAACAGGGGTGAATCCAATGACATCATGCTGAGGACAAGCAACTTCACACAAAAGATCACACACTGCTCGATTCTCTAGGAAACTCTAGGAAACTGCTTGAAACTCTAGGGAGAAAACCAAACCTAATCTACAGTGATATAAAATAGATCAGTGATTTGGAGGGTATGGGGAGAGAAGGTGGGGATAGGAAAGGTCACGGGACATTTCTTGGGGAGGTAGGAGGGAAGTGTTCTATAGTGGAGATGGTGGTCGTATGACTGCCAAAACTCAAACTCTACAATTGATACCTGTGTCTTTTAACTGCATTTAAGTTATGCTTTAATTAAAAAAATGAATAAAATTGTTTTTTATTCATGTATTCATTCATGATTGTTTATACAAAACAGATTTAGTATCAAGTCAAATTAAATCCCATATTATATCCACATGAGAAGTTAGCTGATTGACATGAAGTAGACCTATGCTAAAGGGGCTGTAATTAGCGATTGACTAGCTGTTTGTGAGAAATATAAGCCTAAATATTACCTTAAAAATTCAAGAGAAACTTCTAGAACAGTGGTTCTCAAACTTTAGCAAGTGTCAGATCATCTGGGGGGCTATTAAAACACAGATTGTTGGGCATTACCCTTGCATCTCTGATCTAATGGGTCTGGAGTAGGGCTCAAGAATTTACATTTCTAATAGATTCCAGGTGGTGCTGCTGCTGCTAGGTCAAGACCACAGTTTGAGAACTATTAGAGAGTAATGGAAATAGAAGAGGAAACCAATGGAGAGAAAAAAATAAAATCTTAAAAAAAGCTTTGGGTTGGCCACACCAAGTTTTGTATCCAGGTTTCACTACTTTCTAGCAGTGGGACCCCTGGACACTTACCTTCTTGGAGTGCCAGTTTCATTCTTTGAGTCTCCGGGTCATTGTAAGAATTAAAGGTGATAAACATAAAGCTCTTAGCAGAGTCGCTGGCACATCGCACTGGTTTATCCCAAGGTAGTGGCTATGGTATGGGATTGTAGATTAAGCTCATAGCAAGTGTTTGACTTGTCCTCAACAAAACACAGCGTCAGCATGTTCTTTGGTCTCAGATTTGTGTGTGTAAAAGATGGG